TTTGCTTGTTTGTATCCCCCCCAAGACCATATCACCAGGCCTAGAGAATAGAGTAGATGATCATACATATTGCCAAAGATACTTTAATAATTATGTGTACAAAGCGCAAGACCCATAGTAAGCAGGTACTCAATAAATTATAGTTCTGTCTTCCCTCCTTATACCTTCATGTACCTCATGATGAAGTTGGTGTTATTTGTTTCTGTCTTTTTACTTCATTATATATATATATATATATATATATATATATATATATATATATATATTTAATATTTTCTTTCTTTATTTTTTAGAGAGAGGAAGGGAAGGAGAAAGAGTGGGAAAGAAACATCAGTGTGTGGTTGCTTCTCCCGCGTCCCCTACTGGGGACCTGGCCTGCAACCCAGGCATGCGCCCTGACTGGGAATCGAACCAGTGATCCCTTGTTTCACGGGCCCATGCTCAATCCACTGAGCCACACCAGCCAGGGCTCATTTTATATATTTTAAGACCCGGATCCACTTGACTGCATGCATCTTAAGACCTGGATTTCTTACTTAATTTTATTTCTGTCCCTCATAGAAAGGTAATTAATTAATTAAGTAAGTAAGTAAGGGATATCCCTTAGGAAATAGTGCCCGTTGCTCCATTCCTGCCTGTTTTCAGTTACTTCCCCTGTTACTCACCATCAAATTGGTCCCTTCTGGTGCTGATTCCCCAGGTGGGTGGGTTTATGCATGTTCTAGGACCCTGTGGGTCTCTCTAAGATACTCTCCTATAAGGCTGGGAGTTTTTCCCACTGCTACAACCCCCACAGGTTTTTCCAGTCAGAGGTTCTGAGGCTTTATTTCCCTGCTCTTGAACCCTGGGTTGAGTGGTCTGTCTTGATCCTCAGTTGTTTCTCTCGGTTTATCCACATGCAGATGTGGGACTGCCTGTCTCCCAGCCGCTGCCTCACCAGATCTGCCAGCAGCTTGCGTGTCCTGATCCTCCAGTCGCTGCCTTGCTGTGAGTCCTCTCCACGTCAGCTGCCCATCTCTGCCCCTCGTACTGGTCTGGATGAATGTTTCTTCTTTAACTCCTTGGTTGTCGGACTTCCATACAGTTCAATTTTTTTGGCAGTTCTGGTAATTATTTGTTTTTAAATTTGTTGTTGTCCTTCTTTTGGTTGTGCGAGGAGGTCAAGTGTATCAACTTATGCCTCCATCTTTGGGTTTTTTCTTTTTAGCTGAGGTGCTCAGTAAGTGTTTGTGGGACGAGTGGATGATGAACATATAGGGTTCTTCTTGCTTGTGCATGTGCTGGATTGAAGTTGGTATCATGAAGGCACAGAGCTCTCATTCACTTGTCTCTCACTGTGCCTTGCACATGGACTGGTGCTTGAAAAAGTCTTGCTGAGTTGAATTGGGGAAGAAGCCTGGTGATTCAACTTTTAACTTGGTATTTGGAGTCTTCTTATAGAGCTTCCCAAATGTAACATCAGGACTCACAGCAGTAGACATTGGTGGATATATGAATTAAGAGATGCAAAGAGAACAGACATGAATGAATTTTTAAAAGGAAGAAAATCATGTTGGGAGTATCATGGAAACCCACTCTCTCTCAGCTCTTTTACTTGTGGCCCTTTTCAGGGACATCCAGGGAAGAACCAGTAAAAAGCTGTGGTTCCTGCAATGAGAGATGCGGTGGACCAGGATGGGAGGCAAAGACAGTACAGAGCAGTGGGTGTTTCCCACTCTGCCCCACCCCTGACAGGCAACCTTTGGCTTGTTCCAGAGCTTCCTCCTCATCCTCTCAGCCCAGCAGAAGTGCCAGGGCCACCTAGAGGCAGACAGTGTGATGGGTGAGGGCAGTTGCCAAGGGCAGGGACTGTAGCTGTGATGCAGGAGTGCTCATGTATTTCCTAGTTCGATTTACAAGTATAATGAGGCTTCATCTGTTGACTACCAGCCTGCCATCCATCAACCCTGTTCCACCAGAGGCAGAGTCCAGGTCCTGCTGGGTCTCCAAAACATTGGTTTGTTCTCTTCTCCTGCCTTGGGGTCCTGGTAAACAAGGGGAAGAGAGCTACACATGGAATTGATTTGCTGTGTGTGTGTGTGTGTGTGTGTGTCTGGGGGCAGGCAAGGCTGTGGCTGTTTTCCCTGCCAGAAAACACACCAGCTGGTGATGATTTTACATCTGCTCTCCCTGTTCCAACTGCAATGAGGAGCAAGTTGGAGAACTGATGTGCTAAGCCTGCCTTCCCTCCATGTGGGCTCATACACTCTTGGCATGAGGGCTGCCTAGCTACAGGATCTGCTTTTTGGTCCTCCTGGTAGTGAGGCTGTGATGTGTGGCCCTTTGGGGTGCGGGAAGGGGGTGGATGGGTTTCTGCACCTGCCCTACTTGCATTAGGGATTTCTCCTTCTCACCCACTGGGTTGAGACAACTCAGTACAGACTTTCTTGCACATTGCCTAGGAGAATCTGATTGAATTCTCTGCTTAGAAGGGAAGCCTCATGGATACTTTTAGTACTGTATCTGGAGAGGAGACAGCTTGGGTCTCATATATAAGATTAAGCACCCTTCTATCACCTCTGCCACACTGGTTCCTCAAAGCTAGAGGCATTACAAAGTCTATGGAATACACGGTTATGAATTAAAAGATTTTCTAGATGAGTGAATTTGGGAAGTTATTTATTTAACTTCTCTGACTCTGTCAGTGTCCTCATTTAAGGAAGAAAGAATGAATGGATAGATAAATCTATCTATCTATCTATCTATCTATCTATCTATCTATCATCCATCAAGACAGAATTTTAATTCCAAATCTCATATGGTCTCCTGTCTCCATGAGTGGTGTTGATTGGTATAGAAATCTCACACCAATCTCTTCCAAATTCCATTTCACAATAAAATGCTGGCATTCCTCTTTCTAAGGTCATGTACGAAGGTGTGAATATTTGCATGTGTTTGTGTGTTGGTCCTTCATACCCTATCCTGAGAAGAAAATAGCATCATAATTGTACTCTAAGGTCAAAAGGCCCAGGTTGAATATTGGTCCTGCTACTCACTAGTAAGTTCACCTTGGACAAGTGGCTTAATTATAAGTGTTTAAAATAGTGTTGGGCAATGTTTGGAAAATTAAATCATCTAGGGTTAGGAAGTAGAGACGTATACATAAAATAAGATTCATCATGAATTGATAATTGTTGCTAACACTAGAAATAGATATATATGCTTTTCCAGTATTCTCTATATTCTTACACGTGTTTGTAATTTTCCTTAATAAATATTTTTAAAATGAACAAAAAAGCAGTGGTGGCCATACTCCTAGAATATCTCCACAGCCTTCTTCCCAAGCTCCTCCTTGAACCTTGTTACTCTTTTCTGCCAATCTTGGCTTGATTTGCTGGTCTTGTTCTCTTCATCCATCTATAGCTGGATGACTCTGTTGGACAAGCTTGGGACTGTAATTCACCTTTTGCCACTGAAAGTTTCCTCTCCATCTTTTTTTTGGAAACCATCCTCACCTTAGCCCATCCAGGTCTTGCCTCACCTCAAAATACACTCACACACACACATAGACCCAAGCTTTCAGGAATTTATAATCCCACTGGTCTCCTTTGCCTCAGATATTCACTTATCTGTGTTTGGAAATTTTTTCTTCTCTTTTCTTCCTTCTCAAATAGCCAGGGAAACGTTATCTTGGAATATGACATGGTTGAGAAGGCAAGTAAGACTTCTAAGAGCAGTGAGGAGTTTAAGGTGCTAGGGAAGAACTGTAAGGTGGGGTAAGCAATAAGACCTTGTCCTGCCCCATCCCAGCTTTCTTCCTCCTCTTTCAAAAGACAAATATGGTAGTTGAAAAAGAGGCATTTTAATATGGTGCTGTCTTTTCTAGAGAACTTAGTCGTAATTATTCTTAGATGATATAGAGGGCTTAAAAAAGCCAGCCCAGGGGATAGAATGAGTTATTATACAGTAGGGTGACAAACTGTCCCAGTTTGCCCAAGACTGTGAGATGTCCCAGGACACTAGATTTTAGCCAAACACAGGGGAATATCAGGCAAACCAAGACAAGCTGGTCCCCCAGTAGTGAGATCAAGGTTTCCATTTCTTAAAAGGAGTACAGTCCTTTTTATGTGGGTAGAGAAATTCTTTTATCATTGCATATCAGTATGTTTTATTCAGGAGAAAATTAATAATTGCTGTGATAATGTATGTTTGATCTTTAGTAATTAACTAGACATAGCCAAAGCTGGTGGGGAGATTGGCCTAGATTCAGAACACCCCCTGTTTTTCCTGAACTCCTGAGAATACCTTTATGATTTTCTGTTTCCGTTAAAGCTAACAAAAACCCAGGCAAAGAAAAATTCTAATAACACTCGAATGAGGTCTTATAGTTTCAAAACACCAGTATTATTATTACTACTAACAATATAATGATTGGTGAGTGTAATGTGCCTTTATAGTTGTTGTCTTTGTCTTTTGAAGGCTGTGTGGTCAAATTATAGTACTCTAAAAGTCAGGTGACTTAATTCTTTTCTCTGCATGGTTGAGCCACTAACTCCCAGCACAATTAGCTTCACTCGTTTAATTTTGCTTTTGATTTTTAGGATCTTATTTGTAAAATTTAAGAATTTTAGTTATGACATTGGGAGTTGGGAAACTGTTAGCTGGGCAAGAAGGGAAATTCGACTCCTTCGTCCTTCTGTCCGGAAGCTTCATCCTTCTGTAGGAATGTAAAATGATGAAGGCACTACAGAAAACAGTATGGAAATTTCTCAAAAAATTAAAAACAGGACTAGCAACCCCACTTCTGGGCATATATACTCCCCAAAGTTGGAATCTGAATCTTGAAGAGATGTCTGTTCTTCCAAGATTATTTAGCATTATTATTCACAATAGCCAAGATATGGAAACAGCCCAAATGTCCATCAACAGATATATGGATAAAGAAAATGTGGCAAATACATGTTATAGAATATTATCCAGCCTTCAAAAAGGAGGAAATCCTCCCATTTGTGACAACATGAATGAAGCTTGAGGGGACTGTGTTAGATGAAAGCCAGCCACCAAAGGGCAGTTACTGCCCTCACTTGTATGAGGTATACAAGGTATCTAAAATTGTGATGCTGACCACCATTCTCACCTTCTTCACTGACATCAAGCTCCAATTCCTGCTTGGATTTACTTTTAGCAACCTGTCTGTAATGTATCTGGCTCAGAATGATGACATACCAAACCTGGCTAAAAAACTTGAAGAAATTAAAAAGGACTTTGATGTTAAAAAGGAGCCCTGTAGTTCATGAGGCCCACTCCAGTATTACCCCCAGAAGTCCTGATTCTCTTCTCCTTGAGGACCTCCTCCACCCTGTGAACCAAAAGCCTGTGTCTTACTCTCCAGTCTCTGCCTTGGCTCCACTCTGTGTGGCCTTGGAGCACACATGGGGACACAAGTTAAGTACCATCCTTATGTTTCCAAAACCCTCACCTCTTCCTCCTTCCAGTCACTTGGGAGGTCCTGAGGCTGGAATTATGGTGCTAGATTAGTAAACATGGCCTTTAGTTAGTGGTCACTCCCTTATTCTTTGAGACTTCTACTGCCTTTTTTGTAAGAAAACTCACTGAGTTTTGTATTACTGATCAGATATTAAAAATGCTGATTTCACAGTTTAGCTATTATAATGGGCATTGAAACACTTAGTACTAAATTATGTTTTTAAATGTCATTAAAATTAAAATCTAGAAGCCAAAAAAAATTGTGATGCTGTTAGAAGTAAAGAATAGTGGTTGCAAGGGACTTTGGAGAGTTGCTGATTAGTGGGTTTACAGATTCAGTTATACGACATGACTGAGTGTTAGAGATCTGCTATACAACATCATGTTGATAGATCCCAAGATTGTATTATGCAGTTAAAATCTATTAACAGCATAGATCTCATGTTGTACTCTTACCACAAAAACAAAAAAACAAACCTCCCCTGAAAGAAATCCAAGTAAATTTTTTGGAGGTAATGGATAGGACTATTATAATTGTGGTGGTAGTTTTACAGGTGTCTGTATACATATGCCCAAACTCATCAGATCGTATACATTAAGATCAATTATACCTCACTACGGAAGTTTTTAAAAGATTCCTGTCTTTGGGCAGGGGCTAATTCCGTGTTAGCAAGGGTAGGTAGGAGATTTCTTCTTCCTTCCTATAGGGACAGAGTTAAATGAGAAAGATTCGAGCTCCAGAAATGGGGATTTTCCTTAATCAAGAACACACAAAACATGTGGGCTCCATGGGATTATAAAACTGTATTCTAAATTGTGCAAGATCATATGTGCATTTTCTAGCTAGAGTTTCTGTAACTTTCACCAAGTTACAAAGGAGACAAATTAAAAAAAATAGAACAAGTGTCTTAGAATATAGAGAACTGAAGTACAAAGGGAGAAACCAAAAGAAATGTCTTTTACCAAAATTCAAGAGAATAAGCATTATTCATACCACCCACCATTTATTCTGAGGTCTGCAATTTTAACATCTTAAATTTGTATGACTCTTCCAACTGAAGGCATCATATTGGATGAGATATGGTCATCCTTTGGGATATTTTGGATTTATTTTATATTTTTATATTTGTCAGTAAGAAAGTGTAGTTGTCATAAATGAGGCATCAAAATTTTTTCAAAAAGAATTTCGAAGAGCTTTGAATTCAGGGCAAAAAGACCTAGAATTCCTGATCCTGAGCAATGTTAGCTCCAGCAAACAGTTTCCTCTTCCTGAGTCTCTGTTTCCATGTGTTGCAATATGAAAAGGTGGAAGCAGCTGGTTCTTCAGAACCCCTTTAAGAGCACCTGGAGTGGGGAGGGGGTGACAGGTAGGTGTGGCTCCAGCGGTTCCCCCTCCTCCTTCAACCAAGAGCAGTTACGTGTTATATCTTATACAAAACAGATTTGCTCTTAATGTTTCTTTGAAAACTGATTTCTGCTGTCAGGAAAACAAAAAGATTGGAAACCCCTCCAAATGGCATTTGTGACTGCTGTTGTGGATCTAATGAGTTTTATGATTTTTGTCACCAGATTTTTGTACTCTCCCTTGAATGATGTCTATTGATCTATTTGGGAGACAATCAATCAGAGTGATTAGAAGTGCAGACATTGGGACAACTAGACCTATCTGGGCAGTTATCCTGGCTGTGTGACATTGGTCAAGTAATTATGATGATGGGGATTGTGTTGATACCTCTGTCATGGGAACTACCAAGAAGAGAGTTCGTGGAAAAGATGCCTGATCAATAGAGATGCTTACCAATAACCACTGTTTCTGTCTCCTGAGTATGAATGGGGGAATCTTCATTTGTTCTCATCATAAAATTTTACCCTTTCCACTCCAGTCCCATCTCAAAGAAAGTCTTGCAAATCCTCAGACCCATAGTCAATTCCCAAGAGACATTCAGCACTGAAGATGACCTTACCACATGGTAGGGGTCATTATTTATGCAGCAAATCAAATGAGTAAGGCAGCATGCTCATGTTGGTAAGGGATATAGAAATGCCAACAACAGTGATAAAGGCAGGGTTAGGTTTAATTTAAAGGATGTTCATTGTGTCCCGATTCAGGGCATGTAGGGTGATAGGATGCGTCCCCTGCCATTTAGAAACTGGCAGACTAGTAGGTGATCAGGAGGACACAGGACTGAACCATATATAGGGAGCTCAGAGCAGGGGCTGACTTACAGGTTGGGAAAGGTTTCCTAGAGAAAACATTTGAACTTAGCTTTGAGGGAGGACAAGAATGATCCCTGGTGGGAGGAAGGAGGGCTTCTCGGCTGGTGGCATGGCCAAAATAAGGAGTATCTTCAAAAATAACCATATACGAAGTGAAGTTGTGGTTAAGAAAGATCATTATGAACATTACTTCTTCAGTGCTAGACACTTAATGAAACCCTTTATGGGCATTATTTCATGTAGTTCATTTAGTCCTTAAACAACCCTTTGAGACAAGTTATATTCCTATCCCCATAATAATGATGAGGAAACTGAGGAAGTGCCTTGCCCAAATTGATAAGCGGGTAGCTAGGATTTGCCCCAAGACATTCCTGTGCTTTACCCATGATAATCATAGATAATGACGTAGTCAGCCTGATTGGGGACAGATCATGGAAAGTGAGGAACATGATGCTCGATGAGAGCCATGGGAATAATCCCTGGCTTTCTTTGTAGGACAGGGTTTCTTACCAGAGGCACTGTTGGCATTTTAGGCTGGATGACTCTTTTCATGTAAGGCTTTTCTATGCATTGTGGGACATTTCACAGCATCCCTGGCCTCTACTTGCTCGATGTTAGTGGTGCTCCTTCCCTGAGCTGTGATGATCGCCAATGCCTGCAGACGTTTCTCGCCATCCCCTGGGAGGCACAGTCTCCCTTGTCTGGGAACTGCCGTTGTAAAAAGGCTCACTCAAGGCACTGCTATGCACTCTGAACAAACAGAGCAAAAGGCAGCAGAAATTCTCTCTGCCGTGTTCCAAATTATCTCCAGCAAACTCCCAGCTTTGAAATTGCTCGCCTCGGCAGCTGGGGTCTTGATTTCCCCAAGGTGACTCACCCGGCTCCCTGTCTGTGGGAGTCAGCTAGTTATGTGTTCTGACAAGGCCCCTTGTGTGTTGGAAAGAAGTGCGACAGCAGAATCATCAAAGCCCGCGGATGCACAATTACGCAGTGTGCTCGCCAAAGCATGACAATTGGAGTGCTTTGATCCAAGGCTTGTTTTGTTCAGAACAGCACTGGAAGTTCTGAACCTTAGAGTGAGTAAGTGACATTGATTACATATTCCTTTTGCTACCAGCCTTGTGCACCTACTCATCTTTTTATTTTCTGGGCCCACCTCCACAGACAACACTTATGTCACCTTCTTAAAGGCGTTTTCCATGATGACTAGGGCTTTCCAGAGTTGGTTTGGGTGGTATGTCTGCTTTATCAGTATCTCTCCATTCGAAGTTTTGAAGAGGGACTCTGAGTAGGACCAGCAGGAGGAGTCTACAGAGGAGAGACTGAAACCTCAGAACAAGCAAGGGAGGAACAGTGTGGAAGGCCAGACATGGCCTCCCAGACATCAAAATCAGAGGGACAGGCCAAGTTTTCTAAAACAAGATAATGAGCCACACCCTTGGATAGGGGTACAGAGAGCAAGGGAAAGAAAGCTGGGGTGATCGTGCAGAGCCATCACTGTCCTCTGAGCCATTTGTTGAATGAATATTTAATGAGCATTAGCTATGTGCCAACCACTGCTGTGTGCTCCTCAGAACAACCCTGTGGGGCAGGGGTCTATCATCTTGTAAATGAAGGCAGAGAGGAGGGCAGGTACTTCTCCAAAGTCACACAGCTGGAATGTGGAAGGGGCAGGGTGGGAGCTCAGTCTGTCTGACCCCAGAGTTCAGACATGAACCTCTGAGGTCTGTGCCAATCCCAGAGCAGGACACACCTCCAGGCTGGGATCTGGGAGGGCTGGCATCATTTAAAGGCTCAGGATAAGGGGGATCAGAAAATTGTTTTAGTCATTTCCCTTGGGGTGGAGATGGGAAAAAGAGGGAGAAGACCTTGGATCATGACTGCTGCAGCTGAGCAAGGGATTGTTGGTTTATATACCTGCTGAAGAAGATACAGGTAAGATCCTGAACCCCCCCAAGCCTTTGTCTCATTGTCTACTGCAGGGGTGTACCAGTTTGCTAGGGCTGCCTTAATGAAGTACTATACACTAGGTGACTTAAAGGGCAGAAATTTATTATTTCTAACTTCTGGAGGCTGGAAATCCAAAAGTGAAGGGGTCAGCAAGGGTTGTTCCATTTGAGGGCTGTGAGTGAGAATCTTTTTCCTGCCTTTCCCCTAACTACTGGAGGTTTGCTGGCAGACTTTGGTGTTTTTGACTGACTGATACATCACCCTGCTCTTTCGTCTTCCCTTTGTGGTGTCTGTCTCTGGGTTCAGACTTCCCCTCTTTACAGGGAAAACAGTCATATTGCATTAGGGCCCAATGTACTGACCTCAACTTTGTTATTGGTGAAACCCTATTTCCAGGTAAGGTCACATTCACAGATCCTGAGGGTTAGGGCATTAATATTTTTAGGGAGACATCATTGAATCTCTAACAGAGGGCATCCTGGTGAAAGACACAATCACTATTAGCTGGAACTTCAGTTCCAAACCCCTTCGTGACCTGGGGAGACATGTGAGATCAATGGGGTAGCAACAGCCTTTGAATGCAGACCTGATTAGAGGCCGGCTGGAACAAGACCCTTTGTCTCTCCCTGTTCCTACCTGCTCT